TCACTAATCAGTCATGTTGTGGAGAGCTAGTTTCCTTGGAAGGAAACTTGTCTCCTTATAGTTCAAGTTCTCTCTCTTTCTCTCTTTTTTTTTTTTTTTTGGTTTATTTGTTTCTTAAGAAAAGCATGAACACATTGAAATAGGTTTTCCATGGTTGGCTAAATGAATTCGTTACTTATTAGCTCAGTTTCCCACGTAGCAGGAGGGATAGTTTTGGACTCAGCAAACAGAAGAAAGTTGGAAGAAAGGACTTGAAGGAAGCCTTGAACAGAAGGCTTCTCTCTTATAACATGGAAGATGCTTACTTAATATCATCCATCACTTGGTTACCCACACCCCTTCTTGCCATCAGCCTTACCCCGTTTACTCTTTATGGAGTAACTGGAAATTAATGGTGAAACTGAATGTGAAATGGGCATTATGGAAAGACTGGCAGGTCACAAAGGACGGAAAATTTCCAAAAGCCAGTTTCTAGGCTGTTCAGGTTTCCTTGTTATGGTTAGCGAAGAAAGTGCCTTAAAGCATGCATCCATCTTCAAGGAAGAGTTTCATGCTTTCAGTTACTGCAGTGGTGATGTGCCCCAGAAGAAGCCCTTTTCCCTTTCTGGAAGCAGCACAGGTAGATGGATGGATTGAGCAGCTGGACATACTTGCACAGGCCATAGTCACCATCTGACATCAAAATTTCAAGTTGAACTCAGCATCACTGGTTGTTGTCATAGGACTGAGGGTCGCAACATTTCCCGTATTTTCCATACACTGCTCTCTCCTTACCCTGCTTTAGGAGTGTTATAAGAGTGTTGTAAGTTTGTTCAATGAGGCTGCTGTAGAGGGCACATGCCCTTTTGGTTTTTCCCTCATCATCTATTCCTCTCTCTTCTCCTTTCCTCAGCCTGGCTTCTTCAGGGCAGCTGAGAATCTCAGTGGCATGGGGGATTCCTGGAAATCTAAGTTTGTTAGCATTGCTGGCTGAATGCTAAGTAACTTGATTAGTAGAGTTTTTAAACAAAGCTTTGCTTCCTAGTTTGGTATGTGGCCTCGTAGGAATCCTGACAGAAAACTTTATAAATCCTAAAATCTTGAAGAAGAACACATAAAAAGGAGACTGGAAATTTAAGAATTCTTATTGTCGGGGAGTGAAGAAGAAAATTTTTTTGTCTAATTCTTTTGTTCATAAAATGAATATTTTATTAATACAGTGTCTCAAATTTCCCTTGTTTTGTAAGGTCTGCTTTGTTTCTGGTTAAGGAGGATTGTGGGTCTTACTGAAGCAGATGCTTTGTACAGACAGAACGTTTGCACAAATCCGTGTGTCCTGGCATAGGTCAAACTCTTAGAGGATTGGTGGAATAGTTCCTTACCTGATATCCTGTATATTTTAACTGTATACTGTATTGTGTTCTTCAAAGTAATTTATCTCTGTATGGAGAGGTCAAAAAACTGTTTATATCTATTTAGGGCTGCTGATCTTTATTTTGCTTGCCAGCAAGCACGTTTGATTAATGTTTTAGTTCAAGATTTTATACTTCATTTGTTATTGTGTTATGCCCGTTACTGCTTTCCTCTTCGTGTCGTTGGCTTTAGTTTCCTCACTGTATGACATTCGTAAGAGTACTGAAAGAAAGAACACTAAAATAAAGTGCAAAAGAATGCATTTAAAACTCTACTGAGAAACATAAGAGAAAATGTTAATTTATATTACATTGAGAAACTTGTATGAAATATTGATCTTCTTGAAATGAAATGTTTACTGGAACAGATGAGACATGTACTGTAAAACAAGCATGCATGGATGGCTTTTGGCCTTAGCATCTATATAATGAAAACATGATTTGTCACAGCTACATTGTTATCTACCTAAAATGGGAAAATGCTGCTATAAGAGCTTTACATATGAATATTTATTAACGGATGCAGGAAGACTACATTTCCTTTTTTAGGTTTGAGATCCGTCCCCTGAAGCAGAACATAGTAGGAGACTTAAAAAGGAAACCTCTGTGAGGTTCCTTTTGCAGAGATTTTCCCTGTTACGTTTATGCCTGTTCCTGTATCACGTGCACTGAGGTAATATACAGGACCTGGCTTCAGGCCCCTAGAGACCAGGGAGTTGTCCTCAGAGGACTGTCTACTTCCACGTTACTGCTGCAGGGTTCCGCTTGGTAAATTAGTTCCACTAGATCTGCCCAGGCTTTTCTTTGAAAGCGAGGACTTATATTTGGAGAGATTTCCAAAATAATAGTATAGCCTTGAACTCCGTTATACTTTCCACGGTAACTCGTGGGCTTAGACACGGACTATTGTTTTTTTCCCTGTGGACTGCCATGCCCATACTAAACTTTTTGCTTACCCTTCCATCTCCATTTTCTCACAAAACTGTTCCCATGCAGCAGAGTCTGGGCATCCGGTAAAGGGGAAAGGCTATCCTGCCTCAGAGGTGAGGGTTTAGCTCTAAAGTAGGAGAAAGGGAAGACAATGGGAGGAAAATGATTGTTTTCTCTGCCCACATACTGCAAATATAACCAATCCCCATTGACAGAATGTTCAGCTAAAGACATCCCACGTGAGTAGACGGATCAGTTTAGATCCCACACAGGTTATTATCTTGCTAGCAATAACAATTGAAATGGTAGGCTGTTAATAATAAATATTTGCCTGAAATAAATGAAATAACTAGGATGATCTCTAACAATACAGCATTCAGCAGTGTTAACTTTTATAGCTAATGAAGCTGATGTAATTAATAATGCAGAAAGTAATACTGCATGAAATTGTAGAAATTTTAGGATGTTAGATCAACCATGTAAATATAAAACAGTTTTCAGTAAAACCTAATCAGTTGTCAGGAAGATGAGGGGGGAAAAACCTATTTGAAAAAAATAAGACTATCTTCAATGCAATCTAGTCAACTGTCAAAAATGAAACACCTCTAATTTGATGAAAAAGTCTCTGTTGACCTGAGTGATTTCGTCCTCTTGTAAATAAGAGGAACGAGGCTCTCAAGACAGGGTAATAGCCTTCTGACTGGTCACTTTTACCTTTTGTGGTTACTGCCCTGTTTTTTTGGTACTGAGGTAGTCTCACTGTTGTTTCAGGGCTGATGTGCCTTACTCTTAGCCATCATTATCCACCTTAATGTTACTTTTTCCGTCACGATCTACATGCTTCCATTAGTTTTTGTGCAGTTAGTGTTTCTGAATCTTATGTCTTCTACTTTATCCTTATATTTTTATTCTGACCTCAGAGGATGAGGCACCTGTTCTCCTCTGGTTCAAATTTTAAAAAGACAAGGCAGCTGCCAGGGAGGAAGTTATACAGCTATTATTACTATTCAGATAATCTAATCTGAACATTGAATACTCCTAAGGCAGGTACATATATGCTCATGTCAGTCACCAAGAAGGGTCTGGGAGCAATGAAAGCATGCTCTGGCACTGAGATTGAGGTGAAAGGATCCACTTAAATTAGTTTACCTAGATATGTGTTTTAATTGTATCACTGATTTCCTCAAAAGGAACACCTAGTACTACTTGGATTTTCTTACAAACGTTACCTAATATTTATCATTTAGATATTAATAAGATTAGGCATATATTTTTCCCAGTGTAATTTAGGATTTACTTTAGAATTTTTTTTAGATTAAACGTTGTTGTGTCAGTTAACTTGTTCTTAACTTTAGAAATGTTAAATATTATGCCCAGATAATTTTCTTATGTTATTAGCCTTATTTATTCTACGTCTTTCTTCCTGTATTTCTTTGTCCACGAATGATACTCTCATATGCGAGACAGCAAAAAGATGGTGACTATAATGTATTTTTTCCTCCACGTGCTTCTATTCCCAGCTGCTCTACCTTTTCTTCCCTTGTGATATTTTACTCTTCCTTTCCCCTCTCTCTTTCCCTCCCCCAGCTGCAAAGGCCTTCCTCCTCAGCTCACTTTCCCTTACTATGTCAGTTTCTTCTGGTCTGAATTTCTCCTTTGCTATTTTCATGATCTGACCCTTGTAAATAACACCATTACCAGACGTATAAAGAGATTCCTCTTACGATCTAAAATTAGCTTTCTAGTCTAAACTTGTCGTGCAGGCATCCTCTGTAATCAATACAGAAAGATAAATACCACAAGAAGGCAACTTATCACATTTTAAGGTTATGCTGAAAGTAGAGGGATTAATTGCTGTCTGGGCCACCTGTCTCTCTTTGCAGATTAAAGAGAGAGCCCTACATGACATTCTCAGATGAGATATCTGACTTTCAGATGGTTAAAATTAGATGAAAACTGTCCTACCTGTTGTGCAAGGAGCGGTGCTGGTAATGCATTACCTTTGTAATGTCTGTTCTACAGAGGCCAAAACTACAGCAAGTTGAAATGAAATGGCAACCACAATTTAATCTTCCTTCCTGAACTGATTCAGGAACAGTGCCAACAGTTATTTGATTTTTCAATACTGTTTTCAACAATATTGTGACAGATTCTAACAATCAACCCCTATTATTTCATTAGAATAGTTAATAGTTATATATCTCTCATGTGAATGAATAGTTATATATCTCTCACGTGAATTATCACCAAATTGCTAAATAAAATTAATTTCATTTTTGAGGTGAGCTGTGGGATATTTTTGACAAGGCCACACAGTACTATGCAATGGTGTAATTGAACATACACCCAGTTGTCTAAATCCCATCCTAAAATCATAGAAACTAAGTTTACTCATAGATAGTGCCTGCTATTACACTGCTTGTTGCTAGGACAGAAATGTACCTACTCAAAGTGTGCAGATACACCTTGATAATAAACAGTGGGCAGTGTTTGCTTAGCAATGCTATGTAGAAACATTTGAAATTATTAAGTTTGGAAATGCACGCAAAACTTATGAACAAATATTATATGAACAAATTTTGAACAAAATCATGTACAAGAAAAAATGTTTATCAGCGATAATTATTCATTTAGTAAAACTGGTATTTATACTTCTAATTTTTGACTTTCTTTTAACAGTGTTATAACTCACCACTAAATCAACAACTTGGGAACAGTTCATAGCATCAAAAACTTCATTCGCCTAGGCTGAGGCCATCTCTCAAGTCTCCAAGCACTGTGAACTGAAACTACGAAACCATATGGAGTTTATATCACCTTAGTTAAAAGGCATATTTTTTTGATATTTAACGAGGAACCTTACTGCCATTATGACCAACCAGGAGAAGTGGGTTAACCTTAGTCCTGGAGAATTCTCTCAGCTTCAAAAATATGCAGAATGTAAGTATTACTGTTTAAGATATGTGACTTAACTGCTAATTCAAAATCAAGAATATTTTGAACTGTAATTTAGAAGACTAAATGGGAGCCATAGGATAGGTAACTTCATATTATACATTGTATATTTTTATTCATATTATTCACTGCTAAATAACAGGTTAAATTAGGGTTCATTTTTATGTTTTTTAATCCAAAAGATTTGATTTTCAGAAAAACATTTGCACAGTTAGTGACTTCTAACTTTTTTTTTCCCTAAACAATTATTATCCAGTATGGTACGACTTTGATTATGGGTTACTTGACTATGGGTTATTTGGAAAGCATGTTTTTATTGCTGTGCTTTGTTAAATTCATTGTAACACTTTGTAGGCCCCTGGAGGGGGGATTGTCATTAAAAAAAATAATTAATTAAATAAATAAAACCTTGTTCAGTCCTACTGGAAACAATTAAAGGAGAAACATATCTAGCTGCACAATCTGAAGGAGTTGTTTTCATGTAAAAGACCAGGACATAAAAATCTCCCTGTTCAAAAGGCAAGCTGAAGATCCAGTTCTTTAGTTATTACTCAGGCAAACCTTCCTTTAAGTTGCCTGAATAGATAGAACAGAATTACATGCTTAGAGAACAGATGAGAAGTTAGATTTAGGAGGCAGTTTATAAAGCTGGATAGGAACTGAACAAGGACAGTACAAGAACATTTGGGAAGTTTTCCTGCATGATAAAAAATGCAAGTATATTTAAAAAAACATTATAGATAATCTTGTGTTATTTATGAATGACTTATTACTAAAGAACACATTTACCTATAAGGTAAAATGAAGAAAAGTGACTTTTTTGTTGTGCCTATGAAATCTCAGCATATGCACTTCAGTAGAGTCATCTAACAGAATAGCCGTGAAGTGATGACTGGAATTAACTTTAATCACATTGCAGTGGAAGGTATTGGGGTTCATAAATTTTTCATGATCTCAAGTTAAACTATGAATTATACTTAATGTTATGCAATGCCATTGAACAAAAGAAATGGTCAGATAAAAATATTTATATGATGCTTTCTGGAACAGATGTATTTGAGCTTTTCAAGTTTCTAAAACTGTTCTCTAGTTCAAAATACTCTATTTATTAACACAGCATGCTCCGCCCACCTATGCTACCATCTTATCTCAAAGGATAAGCTATAGAGAGGAAGGAATTTGCTGCATACATTGCTTTAAATCTCAATGATTTTACCAAGCAGGGAGCTATTTCATTTCTCTTTTAATAGTGAAATATAAGATCTGTTGAATAATTCATCAGTTATGTTCTTCTACTTAAAGATCTGGCCTGAGTCTGAGAAATGAACATGTCCAAACTGTTTTAGTATTTGCTTTATTTGTGTCTAACATACAGAAAAATTAAATGCAAGGAAATAAGATGCAGTTTGGTGAACCTTTATAAAGCTTGAAGAGATACTTTCTTTGATATTCCATTGCCTTCACAGAACATGGCGATGGAAAATGTTATGCTTCCTAAGTTCAACATGAGTAAGTTTCTTCTTTTAAATTACATTACCAAATGGATAGTAAACACAGTGTAGTAGTTTTAAAGAGACTGTTTGCTTATGCCTGTGAGTAGGTTTCAAAATCATTCTTCATTAATTTTTTCAATATCAGAAATTGACTTCTAATATAGAGAGGTATAAACAGTTGTGTTTTTTCTATATATTGTTTTAATCTAAGCCTTCAGTGCACCCTTTGCAAAAATACAGGTCTTCTCCTTTATGAAAAAGGCAGTTGTTATATTCCTTCTATTTCTACTCCCATTTCCTCCTCCAACACACTTGCACACACCATAGCTCAGAACTATTCCTTTAATAGGACAATATTGGTATCAGTGTAAAGCATTTTGTGGAACTGGATTTTCTTATGTTCAGGTCTGTGTGCATTTATAAGGGAAAAAATACAGGTTTGTGTGTTTACATAAGAGAAACATGATGTCTCTGAATTGTATTGTTTTAACCCTCCTCTGCTTGTGTGTAAAAGAAGGATGTTAGTTGTACCAATATGTGAAATGTGGTACTTCTTCATATCAGTATTTGAATTTCTGAGGCAATTAGAAAAAAAAACACTAATTGTGTATAAGCTTTGATACGTAATTCCAAGGGAGTATAACCCTGATTTGGGCCTTATTTTAAATGTGTGATCTCTCTAAAATCATTGTGCTAAGTGATGAAATAACAGTATTTTAAAATGTGTGATTAAGACTTAAAAATTCAGTTTTGTTAAAATATATTTTTATATATATAATTGGATTTAGCATTTTAGAATTTGTTACATTTTTATCTAGCATGAAGAGGTATGGAATATTACCGCAGTAGTTGCCTCTACTCTATTCATTACTGTATAGTGATTAAATTATGTGGAATTTTATAAAGTTTGAGTATATAATTTCTTTGATATTCACTCTCTTTGCTGAACATTTCGAGATCCTAGGAGACTTTGGCTGGCTTGACTAAATTTGCTTTAAAAAATAAAAATAAAAATAAATACACTCTCTTCTCCAGCATGTGACTTGAGGTACTACTAGATCTTCTCTCATGGTACAGTCCTGCAGGGCCCAGAACTGTGGTACACTTACGTATGCACAGTATGAGCTGTCCTCCGTGCTCCTTTGTCAGAAGTGACTGCTTCTTGTTGCAGATGGTGAAACAAAATTGTGCTGGAGTCAGTGGCGTTTCACATTATAGCATTAGCATTCTGCAGCAGTTCTTTTGAAAGGAATGAAAAGACCAGAAGAAATTTATATTCTAGGAGATAAGATATCTGGGAGCCTCTGATGAGCCTTGGAGGCTCTTTAACTTCCACAGAAAGGAGAGATTTTTCCAGGTTGCAGAAGATAACACTCCAGGGATGTTTGATTTTGCGGCAAATGCCTATCAACAACTGTCAGCTGTGACCCCTAGCTTTGCCTCATGGCTGGCAAGGAAAGCCCTGACCGCTCATTGTGCGAAGGAATTGAGTTTCATTAAAGTGTTCTGGAATACAGTAAGGAAGCTTTATCAAAGTGATTCGTTTTCCACCCACCTACTGATACTGGGGATTATCATTTGTTCTGCCTTTCATTCAATTTGCTGTATTTAGATTATACTTCATAAATCCTACCTAAATTACAACATGATTTTGACTGTGGAAATTTTTAACTGATACAGTATTTGAATTTAAGAAATATGGTATTTATACTTCCTATTTTATTTGGTTCCTATTTCTTTTTTTATTTTGGGACTGATTCTAGGGCTAGAGTTTCCCCAAAACATGTCTCCCTTGGATGCTAGTGACTTTGGATCATGCTCGTAGTGATTGACAGTCACATCTACTCAATGCGGTCACTGGAATTGGAATTATTTTTGTACAACAAACTGCATTCCAAACAGAATTGTTTTTGTAAGATTATTATGCAAATATACTTTGGATTATTGGAATCCATGCAGATCAATTTATGCAGATGTTTGATAGTATGACTTATACATCATAAGACTGAAAGTGTTATAGGCACTTCAAACGGTTAGAACTACACAAGTAGTTTTTTTCTATGATACCTGTATTAGTGTATACACATCTTGGTGTGCTAAGAAAAATTACTGATACTGGATGGTAGAAACTTAATTACAATAAAACATAAAAATAAGGGTGATTCAGAACATCTGCTGTAGTTGATGACACTAAACAGAGACCTTCAACAGGTGATTCCAAAGGTGGCACATGTGGAGGTGCCTTGAGCTAACCAGTAGGAAGTTCTAGGCACAAGGTTTATTTCAATTTCTGCTTCTTTTTGGAACCTAAAAAAATTTGGTAAAGAAAATTTGCTCACTTTCAGGAGAGAAGCTAGTGTTCTGCATTTTATGTGCTTATTTATCTAAAGTATTCTCTTTAAAATGGGTTTGCCTGCATTGCGTGTAATACCTCAGAGGTCAGAAAACATCCCTACAGAGTTTCCCCCTCATGCTGAATCCCTTCAACCTAGCTGGATACCCAGTAAGATTCTCTTTTGCTTGTGTGACAGCCCCAGCTGCTGCCTCCTTCCTCTACACATGCACACCCTGTCTTTCTAGTCTGATAACCTTAGTTTCAATTCAGTTTGGGAAGTGTGGTAACCCAGACTATTCTATTGCGTAACAGGGCACACTTGTAGGAAATAAGGGATTTGGGTTTGAGACCTTGAAGGCTGAGCTTCAGTTTGAACCCAGCCTTCAGCCTTGCCCCTGCCCGGAGGGCAAGCCCATTTCACGTTCGCTATTTTTATGAAGATGATTGTCACTACAATATTTTGTGCTGAAATCAGTCACATCTGCAAGCATAAAGTTTTGTGAAAATAGCAAAGGAATGGCTCCATCTGGGTTCAAAGGCAGAAATTAAGTGCCTCTTCGTCTTATCTTTAGACTGTAGTGGAACTTAGGAGGAACCTAGATGACTTGTTCTTGGGTTACCCTGGTGCGTCAACTGACTTCAGTCATACATTTTCAGACTGTACTGAGATACAGGCTGCACAGATAGTAAGTTTAAGGTACTTGCAGAGTTAGGTTATAGGTGCTGAACTGCAGCTGGTAAGAGTGTGGACATTACAGATGCAGCTGTCCTGGGCTTGGAGATCTGAATTCAGCCAAAATTTCCTTTCAGGTGCCAAAGTAGGTGTGCATGGAACTTGCACTATAAAGAACTCTAATCCTCACTTGGATTCAACACTTGGGCAGAGATCTGTGTTTTCCACTTTCTGACTAAAAGACACTTTGTTCTGGTTCTGCACAGCTCCACTTTTAACTAAAGTTCTATGAGCTTGATAATGGTTTGTCTGTTCTGGCAAATGTAGTTAAATACTCAAGGCCTCCTGTATGTGCAGATACTCTGCTTTGCATCCCCTTGAGGAGTTTCTACCACACCTTATCTACCCATGCTGAGAATTATAATATGATTCTCAGCTTCATCCAAGCTTATTGTCTGGTGAAATAAATTATATATAACATTAC